ACGTTTGTTTTGTCTTTTGCGGTTGATGAAAACATGAGTGTGTATCGTAGTCAGACAAAACTGGGCCTTGCACTGAAAAATCTCTTCCACCCGCCGAACATATTTTGAGTGAAAAAAATCCCCAAACATCTTGTGTAAGCGTTTCGGCGTGCTCTTAAGATGATGAACTCATGCTAAGGCATGGTGGAGTTTACGGTCCAACGCTACACTCAGAACTGAACTGCAAAACTCAGCATGGCTAGCTACTTGTAGATGTTACTGAATACTTTCACGAATGTCAATTTTTGTGATTTCAAGTTAAATTTGCTAGGTATCGCACTGTGATCTGGAAGTGGTAATATTCGAGACAAGCTGACAGTGCTTAATACACACTAATGATATCTCGAAACAGCCAAATCCTTTCCAGGTTCTTCACCGACAGGACCGTCGAGGTGGAAACGAAGGTCAGCACTGTCAACAAGGTGACCACCAGAAACGCAGCATTAGCTAAAGCAGCTGCAAAGGCTTCTAGCTACGTATAGATGGAGTACCAAACTAATTCAAGTACCAAAGTAACTCGTAAAAAATATTAAGCAACGATTTGCAATAATAATTATGAGAAGTCAAAACTTACTTTCAGCTGAACATTGAAAATCGAAATAGCTATGCATAACCGTAATAGCGGGTGCGAAATTAAAATTTTTTGGATCGGTGTTCCTAAACTGATTGCAATTTTCAAACGTTCAGTTTGTTAAAGCCGAAGTGAAATTTAACACATTGGCACCAAGTACAACAAGGAAGAACAATGCCATGAAACAGCAACTGATCAAAGTGTCAAAGCAAAAAAAAAGTCGAAGTTGATTCGCCCGATTTTCATGATAACGAAAGTCTCCATGCAAATGTATGTATATTTAGAAGTTAAAATGAACGAGTAAAAGGGAACCCAGGCTGGAACGCACCGGCCGGGCCTGTGCGATCATGCGTTTTTGCACCGGACATGAAGTAATCAGGTCATTAACTGTATGAATAGCAGTTGCTTTACACCTACCTTTTGCGGTCACTAGCATAAATCATCA